AGCCCTCTTCACTCGTGTCTCTCACATCACGGTCATCTTATTCTTTGTGCCCTGCATATTAGTGTATCTGTGCCCCATGATAACATCTATAATCTACATACTGAATAATGCAGAAGTGAAAAATGCTATGAAGTAGCTTTGGATCCAAAGGTCATTCCAATGGAGAAATAATCACAACAGCATCAAATGACTTCATCTTTTCAGTGGCAAAGAGAAAATAATATAATTTTCATGGTTCAAGACAAACTGACCACTACATATAAAAGTTTGTTGCTGAAAATTTATCATTAAAAATCCCATTAAGATTTATTTATTGTCTATTTGGTTGTCAAACTTCGGTGTACTTTCAGAATCAGTTGAAATTCTTGTTAAAAATGCACAATCCTAGAATACAGCTCTAGAGATTCTAACTCAATAGGCCTGCTGTTGGATTGGGATATCTGCCTTTTAAACAAATTATCCAGAGGTTTCTAAGCAATAGTGCGATAGATTGTGTGTGCATCCTCAGCCTACTATTAAATCACCTTTTAAAGGCATTTTCTTCTTAAGGTCTTTCAGAGCAAATTCTCTAGGAATCAATTCTTTGTAAATCATGCAGTGAAAGCTTGGTACCTTTGCAATTGCAAAACAAAAATATATTTTAGCCCTTATTTTTTAATCTTTTAAAATGGTAATGATAATACTTATCTCATAAAATTTTGGGGCCAGTTGAATGAGTTTACATATGTTAGGTATTTATGAAAGTTCCTGGCACATAGTAAACTTATAAAAGTATGGCTGGAGGTAAGGGGGAGAGATCAACCAAGGGACTTGTATGCATGCATATAGGCCTAACCAATGGGCACAGACAACAGCGGGGTGAGGGCATGAGCAGGGGGTGAGGGGGTTGGGGGGTAATGGAGGGATAAGGACAAATATGTAATACCTTAATCAATAAAGAAATTAAAAAAATAAAAGTATATTCAAAAGGAAAAAAGTATTGGCTGGTGCTGACCCTACTTCCAGCAGGGGCCGATCTTGGCTTATATTTCTTGTTGAACTAGCAAGAGCCGCATTCTGTTTGGATGAGGACCTCTAAGTATCTTGCCTTGGTCCCTATTTCCTTAGATGAAAAAAGTACCTCCTCATATGACCAATACCATGTGAGATAACTTTTCCCTTGCACTTCAGGCAAGGACATTTATGTATTTTAGGTTAATTCAGCCTCTGTTAGCAGCAGGGTTCTGGGTATGGAGTTCACACAACTAGTATCGACTTCTGTCTCATTCCTTCATGTAACATTGCGTGTATTTCACAAGCTCTCAAGATCTGATTTTAATCTGGGTTCGTGTATATAATGAATTGGTAGTACATACTTCAAAGTGCCTGTCAGTCAGTGGGTACTTAATAAGTGTCACTGTCTTTGTTGCTTCCCTCACTTCTTCATCAGTGCTCCATTTCTGTTGAACTTTTAAAAAAAACTATGGTTTGCATTTATTATTCAACTCCATGTAGATATTATATTAAGAGATCATGATGAACTTTCAGGATTCTGAGTAAAACCCCCAGGTTAATGTGAGATTGGTGAGATTCACTGCATAAACAGTTCACTTTAAAAGAAGGAATGTCTACAACATTAAAATCAGTTAAAGCAAGACCCCAGAATTTAATAAACTTTTTATGGCAAATAAGAAATCCATAATACAATAATTAGTATAAAAGCTTTGCTATTTACTGCAATTTGGCTGATGCTACAAAGACAAGTTATTGTTTAATCCCCATAAGAGCCTGATGAAATCAAGTAATGCTTTCCAGAAGAATTAGCTGATGCTTGGAAAGTTTAGTTTTCTGTAGATCTTAGAATTAGAAAATGCCTGAATGGGATTTGAATCCATGTATTTTGGGTTTAGAAGCTGCAACCTTAAACACAGTGGTATATGTCAGAATAATGAAATATACCACATAACACTTTCTTCTTTTTAAAATATACATTTTTGTTGATTTCAGAGAGGAAGACGGAGAGATAGAAACATCAACGATGAGAGATAATCATTGATCGGCTGCAGCCTGCCCACTCCATTCTGGGGATCGAGCCCACAACTTGGGCATGTGCCCTTGACTGGAATTGAATCTGGGACCCTTCAGTCCACAGGCGGATGCTCTGTACACTGAGCCAAACCGGCTAGCGCTACCACATAACACTTCCTAGTGGAGGGATATAGGCACTAAGTAAGTAAGCATAAAAATCAAGCTGCACTCAGTGAGAAGTGCTTAAAAAGTGATGTAATGTAGAGTGACTCAGAGAGCAGGGAGCCACTGCAGAGGGTATGTTCAAGGAAGACACAAGAAGAGGGATCTATGGTGGTTATCTAACTGTGTCCAGGGATGAGAGACAATGAACTCAAGGTCATGATTTAAACAAGAGAGTTTATGCATACTTCGTTTCTGCCCAGACTGGACTTGCCCTTTTTGGTCATTTGACCTTTATGATTTTCCCCAAGGACATGGTCTGTAAGTCCTGTTCTGCATGGTGATTATCCTGGTGGCATCTCTGGAGATGCAGAATCTGCCCTCCATATTATGATTAAGGTCCCAATGAATTTAATTAGAGAAGACTCACCCTTGGAGATGCACCAATTGAATGACACAGTAATCTGTGCTGTAGTTCCAATGTAGATAAAATGTTTATAGACCTTGCCCCTCACTTCAGAAAGTGTTTGTCAGTGTCAGTATTCACATGACTAGCTTTTCCAGGAATTGAAATGATGAAATCAAGACATTAAGAATATACAGGAAATTATTCTTTATCCTTCAGGTAACCCGATGGTCAACAATGCTCTATGACGACAGGCCAGTATAACTGGTTAGGAATCATGATGTTGGAAAGGCTATTTCACTTTTATTGCTACAAAACACAAACTACAAAATATTTATCTAAATAACTCATACACAATTTTTTCTCCCATCAGAATGTTGATTTAACATTTGTTTGTTATTAGGACAAATTCTGCCGGCAATGGACATTTTGGATCTCTGTTCACAATCAAGTTCAGAGTGAATCAGATTTCCTATCAGCCTGGACAGAGTTGGTCACACGGAAACAGCTCAAGGATCAGTGATGGTACATGTGTTACCTTGTTCTTTCTATCCGCAGAGATGGCCTCAGTGCATGAAGGACAAGGGAGAAGGCAGCACAGCCCAGAACATGAATTGAATGGCTCTTTCATTATGCAGGTAACTCAGGAAGTAAATTTATACATATGATTCTGAACTAGGCTTTGAACGATACATTGGTGGTGTGAAAATTCACAGTCTTTTACAAGTTCTCCTATGTAATGGACCTGGAAAGTATTATGCTAAGTCAAATAAGCCAGTCAGCGAAAGACAAATACCATATGATTTCTCTTATATGTGGAATCTAATGAACAAAACAAGCTAGCAAACAAAATAGAAACAGACTCATAATTACAGACAACAAACTGAGAACTGTCAGAAGGGTGGGGTGGGGGGTTTGGGAGAAAAAGGTGAAGGGATTAAGCAAAAAGAACCCCCACCTCATAGACAACAGTATGGTGATTACCAGAGGGAAAGGGGAGCAGCAGGAAGTAGAAGAGGGAAAGGGGGGATAAATGGTAATGGAAGGAAACTTGACTTGGGGTGGTAAATAGACAGTACAATATACAGATGATGTATTATAGAATTGTAACCCTGAAATGATATAATTTTATTAACCAATCTTACTTCATTAAATTCGAACCACACCTAAAACCCATATGTTCATGTTGACCAATGTTACCCAAATCAATTTAATAATAAATATCAAAAAAAGAAAAAAAATTAGTTCTATGTAAATTCTTATACTCAGCCATGTCCTTTTGACTAGTAGAATATGTGGGAATTAATTCAATTTTGTAATACTCTTTTGTATATTTTCATATTATAAAGATCCAGAATCAATTTACTTTTCTAGCATCAGTATTGATTTTAAAATTTTAATTTATTTTTCAATTATTATTTACATTCAATATTATTCTGTACTAGCTTTAGATGTACAGCAAAGTGGTTAGAATATTATGTACTTCAGTATTCTTGGAAACTAATTTCAAGTATAACTATTTGGGAGTACTTAATAGGCAGATATTTTTAAGTTTTATGATAGGTTCAATTAATATGTTCTTTAGGAATTGTTTGTTAATCTATTAAAAATTAGAGGATGCTGTAGCATCTGCCAAACTTGATTGAATGACTTTAAAAAAATCCAAGGTAATTCTGCAGTAAGAAAACCCTTCAATTGCTACTTTTCTGTCTACAGGTGAGTTTCAGCATTTTGTATGTTTTTTGGCCATTTTGATTTATTTTTCCTTTATTTTCCTGATTCACCCACTTTGCTGTTGGTTTGCTTATCTTTCTTTGTTAAATTACGTAGAGCTCTTTGTCTATTTCAGATATTAACTCTGTGTATGTCCTCTAAAATGTAAATTTTCCCCCAAACTAATTTTGTCTTTTGACTTTGTGGTATCTATTACTAAATACTTAGAAAATTTGAACAGTGTCTATTTGGGATGTTAATGATAAGTTAAGAAGATTCTCCCATCTCTAGAGTATAGAAAGTCATCTCTTATTAACTAGAAAGTAAACATGAAGTAAATCTTTAGTTTTTTTTTATTAAACCTTTAATCAGTTTTTATTTTTGTATAAGGTATAAGCTATATGTACTTTTATTAACTTACAGATGGAAAGCTACTTGTGGCAACTCACTTGTCTTATAATGTCTCCTTTCTTCACATATATCTCCAATTACTTGCCTCTTCACTAGTCTGTAAGATTGCTGAGGTTAGGGACCATATTTCAATCAGCCTTGTATTTTTATAATCTCTGGAATTACTGCAACATAATAAATCATAATGCCTCTTTGTTGAATGAATGTACAAATTATCCTAAGATTTCAGGAAGTCATGAGTAATAATTATATTTACAGGTAATTTTTCCTGAACTCTGAAATAAGACATACAGAAAGATCTATGGAACAAAGAAACAATGTGACAGAATTTATCCTCTTGGGGCTCACTGAGAGTCTTCAGGGTCAGAAAATATTATTTGTTGTGTTCTTGTTCATCTACATTGTGACAATGGTGGGCAACCTACTCATTATTGTGACTGTCATGGTCAGCCCAAGTCTGGATGTCCCAATGTACTTCTTTCTTGGCTACTTATCATTTATGGATGCTGCTTATTCTACTACACTTACCCCAAATATGATTATAGACTTACTTTATGAGAAGAAAACCATTTCCTTCCAAGGCTGCATGAGCCAGCTTTTTATAGGGCACTTATTTGGTGGTGCTGAGATTTTACTCTTGATGGTCATGGCCTATGACCGCTATGTGGCCATCTGTAAGCCCTTGCATTATTTGACAATCATGAATCAACGAGTGTGTATTGTACTGCTACTGTTGGCCTGGGTTGGAGGTTTTTTACATGCTATAGTTCAACTTTTCATTGTTTACAATCTTCCCTTCTGTGGCCCCAATGTCATTGACCACTTCATTTGTGACATGTATCCCTTATTAAAACTTGCCTGCACTAACACCTATGTTATTGGCCTCATTGTGGTTGCCAACGATGGGTCCATCTGTGTGGTCATCTTTGTGCTGTTACTCATCTCCTATGGGGTCATTCTGCACTCCCTGAAGACTCTTAGTCAGGAAGGGAGGCGCAAAGCCCTATCCACCTGTAGCTACCACATTACTGTGGTGGTCCTCTTCTTTGTCCCTTGTATTTTTATGTATGTGAGACCTCCTTCTACCTTACCCATTGATAAATCCTTAACTGTGTTTTACACTGTTATCACTCCTATGTTGAACCCCTTAATCTATACTCTAAGAAATGGAGAGATGAAAAGTGCTATGAAAAATCTCTGGATCAGAAGAAGAAAATGAGGCAGCAGATAAATGTTTCACCTATTTTTGTTGTTGTTATTAATCCTCACCCAAGAATATTTTTCCTTTGATTTTTAGAGAGAGTGGAAGAGAAGGGGGGAGGGGAGAGAGAGAGAGAGAGAGAGAGAGAGAGAGAGAGAGAGAGAGAGAGAGAAACATTGATGTGAGAGAGATACAACCTGCAAACACCCTGACCAGGGCCAGGGGATCGAGCCTGCAACTGAGGTACATACCCTTGACTGGAATTGAACCCGAGACCCTTCAGTCCACAGGCTGACGTTCTATCTACTGAGCCAAACTGGCTAGGAAGCACCTATTTTTAATGAAGAATTGTTCCTTCCAGGAAAGCCATGTGTGATTATTTAACTGTAGTAAATGTCTCCTCAGGTTTAATAACTGGGCCATGATGAAAAACATTTATTTTGTGAATACTTCCAATGATAAAAATATATTTTTAAGATTTTCATGATTTCCTAATATTTTAAGATTTTTATAATTTGTTGGAAAAATATATGCTCAGTTTTTATGTGTAAAATGTTTCTGTTGGTACTATGGAATTATGTTCTATGTGATGAATTTGCTATAGTTAATACTGTATATCTATTTTAGTGAATGGAAGATTTTTTTCATGTTTCCTCTTCAATAATATAATCTTTTGCAGAATTAATAGTAATTATTACAGTTTCAGAAAATAAAAGAAATAGAACATAAAAACTTAGTTCAGTTCTTCTCTCACAAAGATAGCCCATATAGTATTTGAAGTATATTTCTTATTTTTGTATCTGCAACAGATTTAAAAAATATAATTGTTTTTATATTGCTTAGCATGTGGAGGTTGAAGGAGAATGAATGATGCTTCAGAGGGCTGCTATTAATCATAAGGAGGCTAAGTATATATAAATAATCTGAATGAGCAAGGCAGATATGCGGAAAAATAACAAAATCTTATGTATTTTTCTGATTGGGAAATCATATCATCTCCTCATGTGGATCAACTTTGTTGGTGTTATATTTTCATGAAGATAATCCACTAATATTCCTAGGTAATTTAGAATTCATGAGCTTCAAATATATAATACAGAACTTGACCAGATATTTTGGGTGATATCATTGTTAAGAAAGATGCTGACAATATATCCTATTTTTACCTCTCTTGTTAATACAGATTATTAGATAATAAAGAGTCCAGAATATATTGTTTTATTTGACAGTCCTCATTCATAACATCTTCTCCATGCATCAGGTTTGAAACAAAATACTGTTTGCCTTTAATATGATAGGAAGCATGTCGTCAAAGAAACTTATGATTCTGCCTCTGTATTTAGTCTGGATTCATAAGGGGCTAAGGCTAGGGGGCAATGGGTGCTTGTCAAGGGTAAATCACACTATGAAAACCTGATATCCTGAGTTTTACCCCTGTTCTTATTACATAGAGGTTTCTTATATCGCCTATAAAAAATTTATCTTTATTGTTGAAAGTCTTATAGATATATCATCTTGAAGTCTCCCTAAACATAATACTATTCACCAAATAATAGCAAGCACTTAATTTTATCACAATTTATATAATTAATTCTACTTTTGCACATTGTTATAGATTGAATGTATGTGTCTCCCCCCCCCAATTCATGATTTGAATTATTTATAATATGGTGGTATTTGTAGATGGGGCCTTTGGGAGGTGATTAGGTCATGAAGGTTGAATCCCCATAAATGGAATTAGTGTCTTTATAAAAGAGACCTCAGAGAGCTCACCTGCCCTTTATGTCAGGTGAGGACACAGTGAAAAGATGGCTGTCTGTGAACTAGCAAGCAGTCCCTCACCAGACACCAACTCTGCCAGCACCTTGATCATGGTCTTCCCAGCTGCTAGAGCTATAAGATAAATATTTGATGTCTACCACCCAGTCTATGGTATTCTGTTGCAGCAGCCCAAATGGACTAAGAGTGACATTTAGCTAATTGCAAAGCAAAAAAACAAAACAAAACAAAACAACAACAAAAAGACATCCCTCCTATCTTTTAAATTTCTAATTGCAAAAGCCTGGGAGCCCTTCCAGCTGCCGTGTCTCCTGGACCAAAGCCAATGCACATGCTTGAAATTTTTTTGAGAAAGCACCACACTTCCAGGTTCTACTGTTTGCTCTGGTTAACTTTGCTACATGGCACATGACTCCAATCTTTGTAGCTTTAAAAAAACAACAGTTTTATTTTATTTCAAAATTTTGTGTGCCAGGAATCCAGGCAGAAGTTGGCTGGGTATTTCTTCTGCTTCATGATGCATGGCCTGAAGTCCCTCTGTGTTATTCCAATGTCTTCCAGTAGTTGTCTTTCAAATGAGCTGTATCAGACACTGTGTCAGGGAATTATTGAATCTTAAATACCAGTTTTCAAAACAGGGTGTTGGGATTAGGCTTCTGACAAACCTCTAGGTGCCAAAGGTTCATAAAACAAACACTTCCAAGAACATCTGAGCACTAGGAATATGGAGTTCCAATGGCATTGCATGAGTAACTTCCCATTATAAGTTCCTTGGAGTCAGTAACAGTATTTCTTTCTGTTACTAGGATAGTGAATGAGATAGTAGTGAATTTGGCAAGGTTTGTGGCATTCTCTAATGGTCATGGACCACGTTATTCTCATAACTTTGCCCAGTTGGCCTAGGCTTTGTATTTTGGCTAGATTGATCAGTCATAACTGACTAATAATGTTTATCATAGCTCCCACATCCTCCCTAGCTTCTTCCTTTAAGGAACTGGTTATAATATTATCAATGTAATAGATTAACTTATTTAGAGTATGTTCATATCTAAGTTTTATTTTAAAAATATGACAATAGAAGTGGTTTATAGAGAGTTACTGTGGATTATTGCACATTTTGAGGCAACATATGTATCAGTTAATGTTTGCAGTATATCATTCTTATTGGAGCATATAAATTCAGCTTCTAGGCTATTGCAAACATAATCTTATCTAGAAAGTGTCTATCCTTCAGATAAGCAGAAAGCATAAGTAGTTCTTTGCATTTATCTGGAAGGGGCATAGAGAATTAAACCTATGGATATATTACTTCTCCAGGTCTGAGTCATAGTTTAGTCCTCAGTAACCTCTATCATATCAGACTAGAGGCCTGGTGCACAAAAATTTGTGCACTCGGGTGGGTCCCTCAGCCCGGCCTGTGCCCTCTCGCAGTGTCCTCGAGGGATGACCACCTGCTGGCTTAGGCCCACTCCCTGGGGGATTGGGCCTAAGCTGGCAGTCAGACATCCCTCTGGCAGCCCGGGAACCCTCAGGGGATGTCCATTTGCCAGCGGGGAGCAGGCCTTAGCTGCAGTCAGACATCCTTAGCACTGCTGAGGAGGCGGGATAGGCTCCCACCACCACTGCTGTACTGGCAGCCGTCAGCCTGGCTTGTGGCTGAGCAGAGCTCCCCCTGTGGGAGCGCACTGACCACCAGGGGGCAGCTCCTGCATTGAGCATCTGCCCCCTGGTGGTCAGTTTGTGTCATAGTGACCAGTCATTCCCAGTTGTTCTGCTGTTAGGGTCAATTTGCATATTACCCTTTTATTATATAGGAGTGCCTGGCCAGCCTGGGTGAGTGGCTGATGGCTGTTTGCAGGCTGGCCACAGCCCCTTCAGGGTGAGGGGTCCTTCTGGGTTGCCTGGCCAGTCTAGGTGAGGGGCTGAGGGCTGTTTTCAGGCTGGCTAAGCCCCCAGCAGGGACCCTCACCCCATGAGGGTGTGGCCAGCCTGGGTGAGGGGCTGATGGCTGTTTGCAGGCTGGCCATGGCCCCCAGCCACCCAAGCTCCCAGTGGAGGCTGGCTGGAAGCAGGTATCTGGGATTTATTTGTCTTCTATAATTGAAACTTTGTTGCCATGAGCAGAGGCTGCAGCCAGCTCAGGGCTGGCGGGAAGCTTGGCTTCCTCCATCTCCTGGGCAACCAAGCCTCCTGCTTGCTCCAGCTCCGTGGCTGCCGGCTGCCATCTTGGTTGGGTTAATTTGCATATAGTTGCTCTGATTGGCTGGTGGGCATGGCTTGGGAGCATAGCAAAGGTATGGTCAATTAGCATCTTTGTCTTTTATTAGTGTAGATAGTTCTTTTAAACTAAAGATAACTTCTCCATTTTTTGCCACTTACCATTAAGAGACAAATAGTACTAAGATGTACTCTTTAAATCTTAGAAGTAATACATGCAACATTTGGGGTTGCTGGATTCCATCCATATCTTTGTTGAGCTGGAAATCACTAACTTTGGGGGGGGGGGCTCAGTCCATCATGAAAATCTTCATCAGGTTCAGATAGGTACTTAATGCCTCTTTATCCAAGGCCCTTGTGACCTAGAAAATGCAATATACATGACTGTGAAGATGTTCTGTGGAGCACATAGTAAGCCATGTTAAAGAAATAACAGTGGAAGCCATCAGAGATTTGATGTAGAGGTAGGCTCTTGTTGGAAAATAATTTATTGTAGAAACAGTTGCTTGATACTAGACTGAAAATAAGGAGCTGAATGAATGGACTAGAAGTCATTATGGTTCCTCTGACAGATTCAGGCCTTCAGAAAGAAACCACTGTGATTATTTTGTCCTTTCAATAATTGAAACATCAACTTCCATAAATTTCCCAGTCCCAGGTTTCTCTGCCTCTGAGACTCAGGGCCTTAACATCTAGTGTAGGGACCTCCTTTTCTAAGGATATGGCTGAATAAAGGAGCCTAAGACTGGTTCTCCATTTTGGCTTAAATTTTATTTTCTTTACCTAAAGATTTCCTAATATGAAACCCATAAATGCTTATTCACTTTATTTAGTTTTTTTCTTTTCAAATTACAGGCTTTTCATATATTTGTCTGTTTGCTACTCTTTCTTGGCAAGGCCCAAATCTTTTTTCTTTAAGGATTGTTCTAGGGGAGAAAACTGTCCAGAAGATATTACTTCATTTGTATTTGTTCCAAATATTCTAATAAACTAATCTATAATGACCTTACATCCTCTTTCAT